CTCACAAATGGATCCAGACCTGCTGCCCTCCAGCCTGCCCAGGACTTTGGACACTAGCACAGACTCAAGCATCCCAAGACCTGGGGCACCAGCCTGCCAAATCCCCACTGTCCAGCTCCGTTACACCACTTCTCCATGGAGCAATCAAATTTTCCTCCCACGTGGAGAAACCAATCAGTGGGTGTCACGACAGCTAATAATTTTCAGTTACCTTCTTCCCTACACACTGAATTCAGGCAGAAGCAGAAGTACATAAATACCATATGGGTGACTATTATAAATGCTTGAACCTGGAGCCTAATGGTTCCTCCATGCCGGCAGGTTTTCTAATGCTGCTGCAGTTACTGACCCTTCACCTCCCCTCTCGATCATCCTGGATACCTGAAAATTTCACGTCCTCTGACGTTGATTAGGAAGACTCCCATGCTCTCCAGCCTCAACTGTTTACATAAATAGACACCTTAATGCATTTTGCCAGCAAGCTTTCCTTTGATGCTTTGGCACAGATGGTTGATATTTCCATGCCGCACTGGCTATCAGATCGTAATGTTACCGGTGACAACTTTACATCATCTGCACTGTGTACACTCTGGGCCCCTGCAGTGGGATGCGCTAGGAATTCAGCTTTAGATACTACCATGGGCTGAGGCTGCTCCTGCCTTCTGCAGATGGAGTTTGCACACCCTGGTTCTTGGCACTGCTGCTTTGTGGATTCCTACAACACCTTGCTGTAGCTGGGGGTGCTCCACCAGTTACCCTCCCGCTGGGGGGATGTCAGGCGTTGCCTCTTCCCACTTCCTTGAAGAACTGCCTCCCATGGGTGATGAGCTTTTCTCCTTGGGTGCTGTCCCAAAGAGTCATTCACCCCCATCATCTCTCCAATTTGCTTTTAAGAATTAACAAACGGTTCTCTACAGATCTGAACCAATTTCTCTTCCTTCCTTCAGAGACACCAGAGTTTTGGACCACTCTAGATCCAAGTCCCTGCAAGCTCCAGCCATGGATTTGAACCAGCTGCAGCTTTGGGGAGGCCAGTGCAGGACTCTCCAGTCTCTTGTTATGTTAACAATGGCAAAACACCGCAGAGACGGCGGCTGAAATTCAAGCACTATTTAAACAAATGAATATGTAGGGTATAGTTCATACAATGCAAGTTCAGACAAGGAAAATCGGAACAGCCAGGAAGCTCAATGCGAACCATATTTTAAAAACAAAAACAAAACTCCAAAGCCCTTCCTCAAGGAAGCCCTTGCCGAATTCTTTCCCCTGCTGAGGAGTCCAACATCACGCCTTGTACTAAAGCCTTTGCATTTCACTCCAAGGAAGGATTTGGAGAAGAAAAAAAAAAAAAAAGCAGCACATTATGGAACACAGTTTGGCTTACAGCCAGGGCTGGGGGGAAAGCAGCACAGAAACCCTCTGGTTTAGCAGCACATTTTACTCCTGCTCTATGGCAGAACAAGCTTTTGCAAAGCCCTAGCTGTTTGAACCTGCAGCGCTGCAGAGCTTCAGCTTCCCTAAGGCGAATCAGTCAATTGGTTCAACGGTGTATTTAAAATCCCCCGGAGTCTACCTTTAAATCACCTTTATATTCCTCTACCCAAAGCTAATAGTTTCTACCTGCATTTTGCTTCATCTCTGTAGAAAAACAAGCTATTTAGCAGTCACATTAATAATCCGCAGCAATCTGGTTGTCGTTTCCCTGATGGAAAATTTCACACTGCTGCCCAGCAGCAGCGACATGGTGAGTGCTACGTGCACTTCAAACCGCTCTGCTTTCCTCCCACCAAACCCAGCAGTCGTGAGAAAGGCAAGAGTCAGAGCTGGACGGGTGGGGAGGATGGGCAGAAAACGCAGAGTTAAGCCCGGCCAGGCTCATCCACGTGCAGGAACCACGTGGAAGCAACCTGATGCTGAGTGAGAAAGTCAGCAAGCTCATGTCGGAGCTTAGAGGAAACCCAGCTCCTGAACCCCCAGCCATACAATGGTAAAATATTTGTTGACAGTGAGTTTATATGGAAGGTGGTCTATGGAGAGGAGCTTTGGGATGGAAGGTCCTAAAGTAGGACATGAGCTCCTGGGGACACGAACTACCTTTGCTATGTGCATCCAGCACCCCTGGCCGTGGGTGCTCAGTCTGGCCACATTGACTGATGGGTGAATGCAAATAAACAGCAAGAGGTGTGGGCCAGCGTTTTCAACACACTCCAAATTTCCACTCGTTTTGATGTGCCTTCAAACCACCACTTTCATCCTAAATATCCCAACCCGGCCTTCTCTGGTTGATGAGTCTGTCAAGCAAATGACTGTAAAGACTGTTTCAGTCTTCTAGGCATCTTCCATGGAGAAAAGCAGGTCTCTCCAGGATGCCTGTCCCAAGGTGAGGTAGCCTCCGGAGGAGCATACTTCTCTCCCCTGGCTATAAGGAGGATGTCAGCTGACCAGCTCATGTTTTGAAGTCCAGGATGCTCCGGTGGTCCCAGAGCTGCTGAATCCCACCCAGCACTGCTGGGGACAGATGGGACGGCAGAAGCCTTCCTCCTCCCAGAGTAACCACTAGCCCATCCGTCCTCTCACACAGCAGCTGCTAGCGTGTCCTCTCCCCCCTGGCAAGGTGCTGGTAAACAACACAAGGCTTTTGACATGGCACCATAAAACATGTCCTGAAAGTACTTATCCTAATATAGCCCGGTGTGCCCAGGGTGGCCTCATGTGAAAAGCCCAAGGGGTAAATATTCATTAAATAAGCAGAGAGCTTAATATAGAAAGTCATGGAGTCAAGTACTCTTCAAGCCCCCTCACGTCTTTGCAAACATCAGCCAATGAAGATAAATTTGGCGTGGTTGATCACTTGCACTTTTAGGAAAGGCTCTTCTAAAAGAAAAAAATCACATGTTTCGGTGTTTATAATCTCTGCAGAAAGGCCTGGTCCAGCATTTCTGCCCTCTAATTCCTGCTCTCATAACTGTCAGATTATGAAACTGCAGGCTATAAGCCTCCCAAGTTTACAGAAAAACACCTCTCTGCTCTCTGCCGCCACTTTGAGCAGACGAACTAATAAAAACAAGCTCCGCTATTCACTCCAAATGCCTGGGAGAAAGGAATCTGGAACAGTAGTAGTTTCAAAATACCGTCAAAGAAAGCAACCACCCACAGCATCTGGAGTCCCCCCACGCTTATCAGCTCCCTTCACCTTATTACCCGAAAACCACCACAAAAATCTGCCTCTTCCCATCCAGCTGCCTGCTGGGACGCACCACTGGCCGGGGCAGAGGCCAGGACCCCGCTGCCCTATTTCCCCCGAGCCAAAGAATTAAGGAGCTGTGTGGCCTCTAGGGTGTTTGGTGATGGGAGCTTGCTCGGCCACCCATCTCTGGTGGGACGGTCCACCGCTACACTCACAGGAGCCTACACCAGCATCTCCCAAAGATGCTCCTGAAAAAGGGCAACAAGCTTTGACAATCTGCCCCTTGGACAGTAGCAGCAAAGACACGGCGGATCTGCTTTCACCTCTCAGCCAAAGGAGGAATATAACTGCTTATTGGTTTCCTGAGCCACCTCCCCCCAGGTTCTTAGGAGATGATCTTCCCGATATTATTAAATAAAGGTGGAATCACTCAAGCTTCCCCGCAGAGCTCCCACCAAGGGCAGCACACGAAGGCGAAACCTGCAGGACTTCAGAGCGCATTGCTGTTTAATGTGCACTGAAAACAAGGGTTAGCCAGCCAAACTGTATTAGGACGTCAGGGAGAAGGCGCTGGCTGGAAGGGACACATTTAGGAGAGCCGCGTCTCCCTGGCGTTCAGTCACTGAGGCATTAATGCCACAGGAGGACACGGGAATTTGGAGCCGGTCTGCAGCCACCACCGCTGGCACTGGGAGCTGTGGGAGAAACGTCTCTGCGTGCAACTGCGAGTGACTCTGCAAATACAAAACGTGCCAGGAAGGGAGAAAAGTAAACAGCCACGACTCGAGATGCAAGGGCTTTCCCAGCAAAGGCTGGCACTGGGACAGGGGTGGCCGTGTCTGTCCGGGAGGAGAGAGGTCTGGCATCCTGGGAGAAGCACCATGCTGGGCTGGCCACTGGGAGCCCTCAAGCATTGGAAGGGCATATAACAAGGTTTTGCAGCATCTCAGCATCCCCACTAATAAACTCTTCCCTCCAAATCCAAATGAAGCGTGCACCTGCAGCACCAAGCCATCCCATGCCTGCGGCAGGACCGAGGGCACCACGCCAGGCGTGCTGCCGGCAGCAGCCACAAAACCTACGTGAGACCAGACTGTGCAAAAGCCTCTCTAAAAGCAGAGCTCTTGTCATCCTTATGGAGACATTTCAAGAGGAACGTGGCAACTCCTTTTCTTAATGACAATATATACAGAGAAAAGCTCTGCTAGGTGACAAGTGTGCGAGAGGCTGGAGCAGAGGCAGCCTCTTGCCTGCAAAGACTCAGATAATCGAGTGGAGGAATAGCCAGCAATGAGCCTATTTTGGACTCAGCGTGCTGTTGCTGAAGCGTTCACCGGGGAGGCAAAGGCATTTGTTACCTCCTCTCCAGGGACTGCAAATTCAATAGACTTCCCTGCCTGCAGCTGCACTGACCTTGGAGCCCGCAGCTGCCGGCAGCGCCACTAGCACTGCCGGGCTGGCACAGACGCAGCGGCAAACGGCTGCTCCCTCTCCCTGGCCCCTGCGCCGCAGAAACCAGCAACGCGTGGTGCTGCCCACGTGACGGTGGTCTCAGCACGGTGCTGAGCATCCCTGGTGGGGCCAGGATGCAGGAGCTCACGCAGCCCGGTACCAGCCAAGGTGATTGCTGCCTGCCTCTGCCTGCAAGCTGGAAGCAGGCTCAGAGGAGAAAAATCAGCCCTGCTCTGTCCTGGGACCCTTCCTACAGCACCCCAATGCCTCTCGCCCCAAACCATCCCGTCAGCGGCAGGATTCGGACCCATAACACTGCCCGCATCCCCGCTGCGCCGGGAGCTGCTGGGACACTGCTCACCTGCTCGTGGTACTCAATCCCCATGCTGAGCGTGTTGATGAGAATGGCCACCATGATCCCACGGCCAAAATATTTGCTGTCCACGATCTTCCGGAAGGTCTCGCACACCACGTGCCAGAACGCCAGCACCCGTCTCACTCTCCTGGTCCGGACTCTGCCCCGCCGCGGGTCCCGCTGGTCGCTGTAGTGGGCATCCTGTGTGAACTCATAGACCCCCTCGCTGTCCGAGTCGGCTGTCTCGTTGTCCGTCAGCTCGGCTTCGCTCGCCAGCGCCTTGAGGCAGTAAGGGCAGCTCTCAGGGTTGCAGGAGCCGCTGTCCAGCTTGGTGCAGGGGCTGGAGATCTTGCAGGAGCTTTGGCAGGGACCTGAAACACCAGCAGGGCAGGGGCAAGGCAGCCCGTCAGCTGGGATGGGGGGGCTGCGGGCAGCCATGGGAGCAACCCCCAGTTGCCGTTAGCACCAAGCTGTTGCCCTTGACAGGACAGGCATTTCCTAAGGGGAAAAGGGCTCCTGCTGGGCTAAAGAGCCCTCGGCAAAACCTGGGCTCCCCGAGCGCCTTCTCCCCAGTTACAAAGCCCTCTTTGCTGCCCCCAGGCAGACACTGCTGCCAGCCCAGGGCCCCTAGCCCACCTCGTTATACCTCTGGCTATTATGGCTAGGAGAAAGCAATCAGCTCCCCTGGCCCTGGCAGGCTCCAGGCTGTAATTAGCAGGAGTGCCGCTGCCAGCAGCCTCCTTTCCTGCTCCCGCTGCTTGCTGATGCTCCAAAATCACCAGCTTCCCACTCCATGCGCTGCCCCCAGCGGCAGCTCCCAGCTGCCAGGTGGTTCCCAGTGGGATATTCCCCAAAAATCCCACCAGCTGGCTGCCAGGGGAGAGGCTATCTGCAAAGCACGCTCCTGACTCACGCACAGCAGCACACAGCAGTGCGAATAAAAACCCAGCGCTAAACCACCTCAGAGCCCAGCTCTGTGTATTTACTTTCTGGGCAGCTCTGGGCTGGGGGCAGGACTTGGTCTCTTCACTGCACAGCTCCTGGCTGGAAAGGTCAATGCCGCTGTGGAGTGGTGGAAAAGGCATTGACCACCTGGGAAAGCTTGGCTAGAAATGCTTCTTGGAGGCTGAGAGGGTTTGGATTAGACTGGCCTGGGCTTCCAAACCTCAGGATGTGGAGGGGGAAAGAGCATCTTGCAGTGAAGGTATGAAACCCCTGATCCAGGAAAGCTGCATTCGGTGTCTGGCTCTGTTACGGGCTTCCTGAGCAAATCACTCCAGGCAGATTTTTAATATTCGGCACCTGCGATTGCCCCTGAGTACTCGTGCAAAGCAGACACTCAATCTCCCCGAGCCTCAGGTCCCGCAGGGAGCGGAGCTACGCAGTGCTCAGGGATATGCTGGGACTTAGATCTGGAAGGTGTCCATCCCCAAGCTCTGCAGCAAGCGGTGGGCAACACAGCCACCTCCAACCCCTGTGTATTAGCAAGGAAGGGACATGGCCATTTGGGAGCAGCCAGGCTGGGCTCCAGCTCTGCTTGGCATCACCGAGCCCGGTTCTAGCTGATTTGGGGAGTGCAAGGATTTGGGGAGTGTTCCCTGTAATTGCAGAATAAATTCATTTGACTGGGAGGAGATGGGGATGGGAAAGAAGATGGGTTCATTAAAACATTCATTTCCCTTGGATTTTTGCAAGTATGAAGTCTGGGAGGTTGAAACCTCTCTCCTGGTTTTGGCTATAAGATGCCTTAGGTACATCGGAATATTCGTGTTGGCCTCACCTGGAAAGCTATCACCTTTCTCCGTGACGTGGACTGAAAAGAACCCTGCAAAGATTCAAAAAGAGAAAGAAATTAGGTCGTAGCTCGTATTTCTGCAAGACAACCCCAGACCGACACCCAGCCCCAGGCTCACCCGTGCTCTGCGTCTCCAGCAGCTTGTGCATGGTGCTGTACGGCCCAGGCGTTCGTGTTGGCCTCACCTGGAAAGCTATCACCTTTCTCCGTGACGTGGACTGAAAAGAACCCTGCAAAGATTCAAAAAGAGAAAGAAATTAGGTCGTAGCTCGTATTTCTGCAAGACAACCCCAGACCGACACCCAGCCCCAGGCTCACCCGTGCTCTGCGTCTCCAGCAGCTTGTGCATGGTGCTGTACGGCCCAGGCGGGATGTTGAGGCTTGTCAAGGTGCTGCTCCCGGCACCGACCGCCGCCCCCCCGGCGCTCTTCTCTTTCAGCCTCTC